ATACCAAACCTGTCTCCTGAAGCCCACATAAAAGGAATAACATCTGCGGCGTATGCAAGGCTGGCTAACATCAGAACTGCCTTCAGTAACCTGTGTAAGGAATCATTCAGCACCTTGTATACCACATATGTAAGGCCAATTCTGGAGTATGCGGCCCCAGCATGGAGCCCGTACCTTGTCAAGCACAAGATGAAGTTGAAAAAAGTTCAGAGGTATGCCACTAGGCTAGTCCCAGAACTAAGAGGCACGAGTTACGAGGAAAGGCTGCGGGAAATGCACCTCACAACACTGGAAGACAGAAGAGTAAGGGAAGACATGATCACAACTTACAAAATTCTCTGAGGAATTGACAGGGTAGATAAGGATAAACTATTTAACACGGGTGGTACGCGAACAAGGGGACACAGGTGGAAGCTGAGTTCCCAAATGAGCCACAGGGGCGTTAGAATGAACTTTTTCAGTGTCAGAGTAGTTAACTAATGGAATACATTAGGCAGTGATGTGGTGGAGGCTGACTCCATACACAGCTTCAAATGTAGATATGATAGAGCCCAGTAGGCTCAGGAATCTGTACCCCAGTTGATTGACAGTTGAGAGGCGGGACCAAAGAGCCAGAGGTCAACCCCCGTAAGCACAGCTAGGTGAGTACAACTCGGTGCGTACACACAAAAAATATCAAGCCTAACAATTATAAACAATTTGTGTGTTTTTAGAGACAAATGTCAGTTAAACAGAAGACATACAATTACTAATATCAAATAAAAGAAAACCATTCAGAGATATTAAGCAGACAGCCGTTTGAAGAGCAGTTAAATCTCAACATTTTGCATTCCTGATGTTCGTAACCGACGCCTTTAAAGGTCGACCGGAGTCTGACGTTGCTCCCCCCCCCTCCCTCCCCCCTCTCCCTCTACTGCAATCCTTCCATTCATTATATATTCACGATCTGCCTTCTATTTATTCATTCATTCACCGCCTCTTACAATTAGAATGAAAGAAGGGAGGAGTTGGGGAAGGAATAATGAAGCACACTCCCCTGGCCGAGCGCCCGGATATAAACACTGCAACAACTGCAGTGTTTATGTGGAGGAGGATGCCAGAGGCGAGGGTGTAATGTCTCCCGTGAATGTGGTTATCGGAACAACAAAAGGGGGGAGATAAATGAGCATTAAGACGGGTGTCTTGCCAACAGCGCACATACATCTCCTAAATAACCTTAGTGAGGGCGGCGCATGCCCAATGAGCCCGCCGTCACGCCCTTACTGCTGCTGCTGCTGCTGTTGTTGCTGCTGCAAGGAAGATAACAAGGTGATGTCGCTATGCCGCCCATCTTCCAAACTCGGGTGTCTGACCCACCACGCCACCCACGTCTACCCGCCCATATAAGATTCACCACATACTGCATTCACTCCTGTAGCCCACCACCCACACGCCTGACCCACCGCTCCGCCCACAATTAGCCACAAACATGGCTAGCCCAACCAACCACACGTCTCGCCCTGCCAACATCCGCACTAATCTCTCCCGTCTGTTGCATGATGCAGCAGCCCCCCCCCTACCCTCCTCCCCCCTGCACGCCACCGCCCCCCCCTGCATATTGCCCACCCACCAACCACCCACTCATCTAAGCCCCACTGTCACACAGACACCACCCACAGGCGCAAGACATGCCTTAAGAAAACTATCTTACCTAAGGGGCGGCGGGGCGTAGAGAACGGTGGCGACGGTTAGTGTTGTGTTAAGGGGTGCTGCGTTGATCGTAGTGTTGCGTTAGTGTCTTGTGATTACACTGTAGGTGAGGATGGATGAGTGGGCACCACATCCATCAAGAGGGCGTGAGGCGGTGGGTGTGGCCCCTGTGTGGCCCCCGCCAGGGTGTGGCGGACTATGCAACACCCACCCACTCCTGTCAACACTAGGATAGGTTACTAGAATGGCTTACACAGGGTGACGCCTCTACTATTCACACAACTTTACGTAATTCACCAAACGGGATATCTACACCTCGTATATTCTCCCAAGCAATATTCACCTGGACTAACAATACAAATTATCCAAACAAGGGCACGATTTACACACACGCCAATCTTGTATATGTATTGACGGGGTCACACACTGCACTGATCACTGGGGTGGCCGTAGTGGGAACACTGGCCTGCCGGCGGTGCCACGCACACAAACACACACTCAGCCGCTACTGCTGGAGTGTAATTAGTGAATGACGTAGTGAAGGGCGAGGTGGCGACGCGGCCATCATCACACAGGTCGTCGTCCGCCTCCGGCCAGAGAGACTGAGCAGTGAAGTCCTCTCCTACTAACGCCTGCACCCGCACCTCCCTACGCTCGCTCCCGGGCCCTCACACACGCATTCTCGCATAATACCCATCTTTCCACCCTGCTAACTCGTCTTCATAACGGCACAAAAAGAACCCAACATGTACGTTCCATTAGTGCTAGACAAGCTTAAGAGAAAATACATGTAGGAAGGAAACATGAAGACCTTCAAGATGCAAGAACAAGCAAAGTGGTGCGCGCTCCTAGCCGGCTCATCCTCAAATTCAATCTCTGTTCAAGTGGGAATAAGACTCTCCTTGCTGAATATGTGGGGGATGTGTCGTGTCAATTATACGCCACGGGGAGTACTTAATGGTGTGGAGGCGACTTGCTGGCGATTGCAGCACTGTGATGGTGGTGGGTGAGGTATTGGGGGGGGGGGGTGAACACAAAGAAACCCACACACATCTGCTTGCTAAACTAGCTTCCACACCACACTAAACCTTTTTATCTTTGTTGCAAGTATGTAAATAATCATTAAAATATTATACTTACAAGGCAAATGTTACAGTTGGGGTTAATATTCTGGAAATCGTTGTTATAGCCTCTGACGGAATTCATTGCAAGCCTAGTGTATTATGCCGTCGTCTTCCTTTAAAAAAATTAATGTTTTAACGAATATGCAGTCACAAACCCACACATTTATTGAACTCTCAAATTTCCCTAATTTCATTTCAATATCAAACATCGAAAACTTAATGTAATTTAAGCTGTTGAAGCGTTTTAATCAAATTTAATATCTTCATTCTCACAAAAATATGTGCATATTATTATTATTATTATTTTCTTAATGTAACATTATAGACATGGACCCAATGGGTTGTTTCAAGCGTAGGTTAGACACAAATATGACCCAATTTGTGTGGACATAAATAGGAGCCGCCTCGTATGAGCCAAAACGCCTTCTGCACTTTCTATTATTGGCCTTATTCTCTATTTCTTTACATTAGTCACGCCTAGTTTTGTCCCTAATTTTCAAACTCAATCATTGGTTGGGTAGATCCACGAACATACCTACGCAAGTGTTCTCTTTGTTCTGGATCAATAGCCATCGATGACCATATTTTATGCCAGTAAAAAAATTGATCACAACTCCTACTTTGTCGTATTATCTTGTATGAGGATGTGATACACATCATCCCATTTTATAATAAAAAGTCTTCCGTGTTACAGTTATGTGTCAGAATATTTACTGCCCAGGGACTAGCATGGTGAGAGGGAAGCAAGGTTTTTACAATCTGCCAAATTTAACAGATAGCTTGTTCTTATTGCACAATAATAAGGTCTAATCAATTTAATCTCCTTGAATGATTTATAATATAAACCCAATATACAGGATTTTAATGAGTTGATTAAAACGATAATTATACAGCCATCACGAAGTTAATTACTTGTTTCAACTTCTGTAATCAAAGTAAAAAAATATAGAATTAGGAGGATAGGCTGCTAGATTGGAGTGTGGATAGTCATTAATGGTAGGGGGATTATTCCCCCCCCCCCCTACACACATACACACACACATCACACCCTGCAGTGTACTTGGATCCCCCACTGGCGTTACTCGCCCCAACCACCACATGGCCGTAAGCAGGAAAGAAGGGGAAAAGGGGGGATGGGAGGAGGAAAGGGTTTAGTCAATTCCAGCATTGATCCCAATAACTGTAACACCTGGGACAGACAGACTCATGCGCATACCCTCCGCGTCGCATCCCTTCCAAGGCACTGCCACCACCTCCCTTCCTCTCACACCATACCTGTTAGCATTGAGTGTGAAGTGTAGTATTTTGTGTAACTTATGTTAGGCTCGTATTAAGACAGATTCTCTTTCGTTTTCATTTACCTTATATTTATACCTGGAATTTATACAAGTGAGCGAGGCTTTTTTTTGTCAGCAAAACATAAATGGAACTGTTTACTTCCTCCGGCCACACTATTAGCGCCTGTACACTGTGTACATTAGCGCCTGTACACTGTGTACATTACCATACTGCACGTTGTACGCCTCACCTGAGTGTGCTGACACCCACTAGCGTACACTGGAGAAGTGACGCAGGCAAGTTTTAACTATTGATCTCCCACTGCCGCGCCGCCTTCACTGTTACTGTGTACGTAACACCACGTGTCCACACCCCTCCCCACACCGTCCACACCCCCACCACACACTTTCCACACCCCTCCCCACACCGTCCACACCCCCTCCACACACTTTCCACACCCCTCCCCACACACCACCCTAACAGTCCAGTTAACTTAATTGGACTGTAGACTACTGTAGACTGTAGACGTTGTAGACTACTTAACACAGTAGTCTACGACGTTGGGTTACACAGCCGAGTGTTCCGTGCACGTTTTCTTTCCCCTGACGCCACTGTTCACCTAGCAGTAAAACATATACCAGGGAGTTACAGGCACTTATGGGCTGCTTCCTGATGAAGGTCAGTGGGACATCAGTACGCCTACATACAGGCTTCCTGTCCCTGACAACGGAAAAGTCATCACCCCCTCCGCCTTTTCCTCTATCAAACAACATCACTTAATCACCCCTAACAACCTCAGTCACAACACCATCCTCAGGATTAACCTTGGAAGATAATAAATAGGATTTTCTGTTAACTGTGAGAGCTGCTATCCTGAGAGTCCCGGGTCCCGCCCTCTGGGGCCACAACTCAAGCTCTTGACGACTCTTGATCACTTGACGGCTCTTGATCACTTGACGGCTCTTGATCACTTGACGACCCTTGATCACTTGACGGCTCTTGATCACTTGACGGCTCTTGATCACTTGACGGCTCTTGATCACTTGACGGCTCTTGATCACTTGACGGCCCTTGATCACTTGACGGCTCTTGATCACTTGACGGCTCTTGATCACTTGACGGCTCTTGATCAATTGACGGCTCTTGATCACTTGACGACCCTTGATCACTGGACGGCCCTTGATCACTGGACGACTCTTGATCACTTGACGGCCCTTGATCACTTGACGGCTCTTGATCACTTGACGGCTCTTGATCACTTGACGGCTCTTGATCACTTGACGGCTCTTGATCACTTGACGGCTCTTGATCACTTGACGGCTCTTGATCACTTGACGGCTCTTGATCACCTTATAAGTGTCTAAACGTTTGCACATTGTAACTACAATGTGTTGAAACTGTTAAGGATGGTACTTGTGAACGGGGGGGGGGGTGAGAGGTGGGGGGGGGGGTGAGTGGTGGGGGGGGGGGGGTGAGTGGTGGGGGGGGGTGAGTGGTGGGGGGGGGGGTGAGTGGTGGGGGGGGTGAGAGATGGGGGGGGGTGAGAGGTGGGGGGGGAGGTGCAACAGGGAGGAGGAGGAGCGGGGGGGGGGGGAGATGAGGCAACAAATGAGAATAATTTAATATTTGTGATGAGAGGAATAGGATCCCAACCGACTGGTCCTGGGTTACCAGCCCGAGCGGTGTGGGGGGGGGGGCGGTGTTCACCTGTGCTCACCTGGCAGCGGTCCACAGGTACCTGGGAGTTAACTAAAATATACAGCTGCCTGGGATGGGGTGCCTACACAAAGGTGGAGGTGTGGGGGTTCGGTGCCCCAAAACCCCTACAACTATCTCCCAGCGCGCGCAAACACTCGGGCAAAGGCGGGGCCCAGAAGTTGAAGCTTCCTAATTCAAATTGTCAGACAAGAATTTATAGAATATAAAGGTGGAAAGTGTCCCCCTTTCCCCCGTTTTCCATTCCAGACGGAAAGTGGGAAGAATAATCTCTCTGAGAGAGAGTGAGCGCTCAAGGGGTTGAACCAGAGACTACTGAAACCTCACCCGGGAAGGGTTGAACTCCCTTCACTCCAGTCAGTGAATCAACTCATCTTAGTGGAATGAGAGAGGCTTGCCAGTGATGGGGCGGCTTGCCGGTGATGGGGCGGCTTGCCGGTGATGGGGCGGCTTGCCGGTGATGGGGGGGGGGGCTTGCCGGTGATGGGCGACGTGCCGGTGATGGGGCGGCTTGCCGGTGATGGGGGGGGGGCTTGCCGGTGATGGGGCGGCTTCCCGGTGATGGGGCGGCTTTCCGGTGATGGGGCGGCTTTCCGGTGATGGGGCGGCTTTCCGGTGATGGGGCGGCTTCCCGGTGATGGAGCGGCTTTCCGGTGATGGGGCGGCTTTCCGGTGATGGGGCGGCGTGTCGGTAATGGGGCGGCTTCCCGGTGATGGGCGGCTTCCCGGTGATGGGGCGGCTTGCCGGTGATGGGGCGGCTTGCCAGTGATGGGGCGGCTTGCCGGTGATGGGGCGGCTTGCCGGTGATGGGGCGGCTTGCCGGTGATGGGGCGGCAGGGAAAATGCTAGTCTCTCCGTCCGTCGTAAGTCAACAGGGAACACCAACCAGCCCATCACACCACACAAGGAGGGAGGGAGGAGGGAGAGATGGGAGGGGAGAGGGAAGGGGGAGGGGCCCCTAACGAGAACGAAGGAAGGGAAAATGGGCCACAAGGGAGGCGAAGGACAAAGACAGATTTAGTTATCGTGTGGGGGTAATGGGTTTGTGGAGAGTAGGGCTGGTGGCCGTCCGAATGGTGGTGGTTGTGGTGGAGCATTGGTGGTTGTGGTGGTGGAGCATTGGTGGTGGTTGTGGTGGTTTCTGATATAGTGGTTGTGGTGGTTTCATTGGTGGTGGTTGTGGTGGAGCATTGATGGTGGTTGTGGTGGTTTCTGATATAGTGGTTGTGGTGGTTTCATTGGTGATGGTTGTGGTGGAGCATTGGTGGTGGTTGTGGTGGTTTCTGGTGTGGTGGTTGTGGTGATGGGAGTACCAAAAGTGGTGATGGTAGGAGAGGTGTGGGAGGCCAGGCTAGGAGACAGCTCACAGCCAGCGTGACTGTATGTAGCACAGGGAAGATACACGGAGACACGCTCAGCACACAGTGACGGAACGATGGCTAACACTTCCACCATCGGGGATCGAACGTCGACCCTGTAAGCATGAAGGCCGCTGGCGTACCAAACAACCACGTATCTCAAGTTTCGGCCTATCAATAGTCTACATATATATATATATATATATATATATATATATATATATATATATATATATATATATATATATATATATATATAAAATGTGTGTGTACACGTGTGTGTGTGTGTTTTACTATTTATACCTGCAGACTCGAGCTATTAGCTCTTGGACCC